AGACGAGCTTTGTTAACAGGGAGGACCTGAGCCGGGACAGGAGCTCCCGCCGTCCTGTCGCCCGTCCCGCAGGTGGGACGCCCGTCCGCCTCGTCCCGCCTCTGATCGGAGCACACCGCGCGGACAGAGCCCAGGCAGCCACTCGCCGCGACAGAACCTGTGGTCGGTGGAACTTCCCACTTCCTCTTTCAAAATGAGTGACGTGACACTCCTCAGCCCAGGGCCTCCCCCGGACCGTCCGCCTGACCAGTGAGAGCATTGGCCTGAGCGCCAAGGGTTGCGGGTTTGATTCCGGTCACGGGCATGGACCTGGGTTGCAGGTTCGATCCCTGGCCTGGTCAGGGCATGTATGGGAGGCAACCAATCCCTGTGTCTCTCGCACATGGATGTTCCTCTCTGTCTGTCTCCCCCTCCCTCCCTTCCACTCTTCCTAAGAAAATAAAGTAAAAAAAAAAATCAATGGGAAAAATAACCTCGGGTGAGGATTGCCCAAAAAAAAAAAAAAAAAAAAAAAAGGCACTTCCCAGCCCGGAAGCGGCCCCCTTCCCAGGATGCTCACATCCGCCAGGTCGGAGGGAAGCGGCAGAGACGCGGCTTTGCGCGCTGTGTCCCACGTCCATCACGGTCGGGCCGCCTCCTCCTCCACCTGCGCGGCGCAGAGAAGACCCACGACTTCCTAAAGGGCAGACTCTCACCCCGAGGAACAGTCTCACTTCAGGTCAGCTGCCTCCTCCTTCCTCCAGGCGTGAGGCTGGTTCCTGAACATCCTCTCACGCACAGAGCGGGCAGCTGGCGGTCACCCCTCCCCTTCCCGGGCGGGAGCGGTACTGAGCCGCGGGGCCGAAGGGGAAGGTGTTCTAAACGCCCAGGGAAAAGCAAAAGCGAGGCTCTAGCCCAGTGATGGCGAACCTTCTGAGCTCAGCGTGCCAGCATTTCGAAAAGCCCTAACTTAACTCTGGTGCCGTGTCACATATAGACATTTTTTGATATTTGCAACCATAGTAAAACAAAGACTTCTATTTTTGATATTTATTTTATATATTTAAATGCCATTTAACAAAGAAAAATCAACCAAAAAAATGAGTTCGCGTGTCACCTCTGACACGCGTGTCACAGGTTCGCCATCACTGCTCTAGCGAGAGGAGGGAGCGGAGATGTGACCCAACATAGGACTCAGAGCGGATACAAGCTACCAAGAGAGGAGGACCCTCCTGCTCAGCTCGCTCTCAGCAGCGGCCTCGGAGCAGCGGCCGCCTGGCCTCCAACCACAGACTCTGTGTCTCTCTGTCTCTGATCTTTGCCAGGAAAGAGGATCAACAACCCGAACTCCATAGAGTAGGAGCTGGAACTGAAGTAACGCACATGCACGTGGACTGAGAGCAAGGCTGCATATGGCAAGGACCCTAACAGGTCACCTGTGGGTTTTAATTCACAAAAACCTTTCCTCTTCCTCCTTTTATCTTATCTTGCCGGTGGCCCTGGGCGGTGGGCGTGGTTCTCTTGTCCTGGCTTTAAAGGAGGCCCAGGCCAGAGGCTGGTGGCCAGAGCGAGCAGCAGAGGCCCAGCCCGCCTCCTCCTGCTGCTGCACTTCCTCCCCTTCAGTCTGTTGTCTTCTGCCCCAAGGAGTTTAAATACCACAGTGGCCAGAGCACGGGTGTGGAGAGCTAAGATCCAAATCTGACTCCCCACTCTGTCCCTCAGTAAGGGACACCTTCCCCTTCGGCCCCGCGGCTCAGTACCGCTACGGCCTCAGTAAGATGAAGGTCCTACACCTGGTACAGCTGCTGGCAGGCCTGAAGGAGCTGCCGGGACCAGCCCGCGCCCAGCCCAGCCCAGCGCTTCCCGCGGGGCA